CCTTTCTCCCAGATTTTTGGTTAAGATGGATGAATGGGCCCTTTTGATGAACAGAACAGAACAATAGAATAAATGAACTGGAGAGGATGATAAAAGATGGTTTTGTTCCCTTGGATATTTTATTGTGTTGTTTTTTCTTTATGGAATTATTGCTTTTCTAACTTTGTGACTTTGCTCAGAGTTGTCTAGAATTGGATGGTTTAGAAATTTAATAAATAGCAAACAAATGAATAAAATAAAAGGCACAAATAAATAGTGTTCCACAAATTAAACACTGGAATGGGGCTTTTGTGGAAAAAGAAAGCCTATGTAGGATTGGAACTATACATTTAAAGACATACTGGATCGATGGAATCTCAACAGCTTCAGTTCTTAGGTGCTTTTCAAAAGGCAACTAGCCTTTCTTTGTTTTTCTCTGAAGACTTTTTGCTTTTCATCCAAGAAGCTTCTTCAATTCATTCCATTGTGGAACTCAAATTGTGTACTTCTGCATGAAAGGCCAGAGTTCAGTATTAAATACTTGGGAGTCGTTCTAACTATGGGACTTATCTCTAAAAACCTCAATCCAGAAGGAATATGCTTTCAAAAAGAAAAGTACTGAGAAATTTGATTTATTATTTATTTTGTATTTAGTTTTTAAATAGGATGGTCATCCAATTAAGGAAATCATTTTATTGCTGATCTGCGCCTTTAGCAGTTCATCAGTTTATTCATCAAATATTATCTAAATCCCTAATATAGACTTTTTGAGCTAGTGTAAGAAGTGTGAGATAAACAACTTAATAAAAGTGCCATCAGGGGTATATTTAAATATGTTTCATTTAAGGATGGGATATAATTATTGCTGAGAATTGATTGAAGAAGAAAAGTACATAAGAAAAGTGCATACATAATGGCTGGCTAATACTGGATAAAATTGGTTCGATTTCTAAGCCTTGAAACAGGATGTAACAAATTTTACTTTTAGTACAGAAGTAATGTATCATTACTTACACTACAAAAGTAAAAGAAATGTGAATCAATATAGAGGAAAAATAAAGAAAAAGAAAATAGCTACAAAAAGTGTGCAAAGAGTTTCAAAAAGAAAAAAAAAGATCAAGGAATAACTTCTGATCTTTTTTATAGCCGTTAAAACTTATTCCTTCTCCTCATTAAAATTACATCATAGTTCTCTTCTTCCCATGTTCAACCACTTTTAATCAGCAAATCCACAAATCACCAGTTCAGTTCTTCCCCCATTTTCAAGAAGAAATTCATAACAGGTTTCCAGTCTTTAATAAAAATGTTATCTCTGATCAAACAGGTCAGTCTTGCCACTTCATATCTTATGTGATATTTTCTATAAATATAGAGTTCATGTGGTGTTACTCAGGTAAGACTTAAAGTATATGTTAGGTAAAAAATCTCTTAAGAAATTAAGAATAGTGCAAATTTAACAAAACAGATGGTTTACACATAAACAATGAATTGCCAATTTCTATCAAATTCTATCAGTACACAATGCCTGAATACTTTTTTTTTCTAAATTCAGAAGTAGAATTCCTTATTACATAGTGCTATGATAAACTTTCTTTCAAATGTAGATTTACAGAAAGAGCCAAATGAACTTCTGCATTTCTACACACAGAGGCCGCGTAGTGCTTGCCCAATTCAAAAACCAAACGTATCCAAATACGTCATTGATGAATACTTGGAATCTAGGAACGTTCAACAGAAAATGGGGCTGTGATATGGAAGAACAAACATTACATTCAGTTTTGCTACTGCTGAATGTTTAAAGTTGATAGTAAAGTTCTTAGTGTTTTATAGCTTTAGCTTCACATAATACTTTGGATACTTTATTGTTATTTAATAACTTTAATTCTTAAGAGACAGAATTGATGCAATTATAGATTATAAATTATAAATATAAATTCAACATGAACACTTTCTTTTGGAAAACCCAGCTTTTATCAATTTTACTTTTCCCCCACTTTTTCAAATAGTTGAATCAGGCTTTGAATGTAACCTCAAAATTACAAATGTATGTTCTGTTTCAAAAGTTACGTCTCTGTCTCTCTTTCTCTTTCTCTCTCTCTTTCTCTCTCTCTGTCTCTGTCTCTCTCTTGTGTTGAGAAATGAGTCGGTAGAAATATTAAGGTGGAGACAATGTGCTGTAGCAAAACTGTTTCAATATGAAAAAGGGTTCTGGCTCTTCTACTTTGCTCCTTATAAATTAGGAAGCCAGGGTGGGGACAGGGAGATGGTACTTATCTTTGTGATGGCATTTTAATGCAATATTTTAATCCCAAGCCAAATCCTTATATATGAAATCACGATTTCCACTTTATGTTGCCAGAGCAAAGAAAACCATTTACTTCTGCTATATTTGCCATCATTAGGACTTTCCCATATTCATACAGTAGAAAAAGGGTTGAACTCATTTCTTCTTCAAAAAGAAAAAAGGAAAAGAAAAAAGAAGGAAGGTGAGTTTAATTGTATAAAGAGGAGACAGTTTCCTTTGTAAAAGATTTTGTGAGCTGGTATGATGATTACAACAAATTTGTTCCTCGAGGATGAATAAATAATCAACATTCTTTTCCTTATGAATCCATATTTTAGTTAGCAGGCTTATAGCAACTTTCAGATTTTTTTTTTTAATCAGGGAAAGGTGATGAGCTTTGGTCCCCTGGGAATTCAATTGTGAAAACAATCTTGGTTTTGTACATGCTAATATAGATCGTTATTCCCTTTCACATATATTGCAAGATGTTTTAAATTGTGGCTGATCTTTTATGCAAATAGCTGTCTTATTAGACATTGTGGCTGCATGTGCTAATGTCTCAGTGGGTTTCTTGGGAGTTTACTACCTAACTATCAAAGCAGTTGGAATGAATGATGATTACTGAGCAGCTCTGAAGAACAAAGAAAAGTCACAGCAGTTTTAAAGGTATTGGTTGCCACAAAATCAGTGACAGTTTGAAGCACATACACATCTAAGTGCTTCATCTTACTAGCCCAAACTACTACTTTTTTTAAATGACAACATTGACATTATGTTCCATTAAGTATTTTACTGGAAGTTCAAACATTTTTTTTCATTGCTGATGTTTTGTGGCAAATATTAAATTGCAGTAAACATTTTTTTAAAGTTAGCTCTTTCTGATGAATGAAATAAAGTATAACCTGGGTGTCATCTAATTGTCCCTGTTTTTATTTCCTTTTGTTCCTCGTATCTGAAATTGAAGGTAGGGTAAAGAGGGACAAAATTAAAAAAATGCATTTATGTTACTTATCTGTAGTTCCATTGTGTGTGCGTGTGTGTATTGATAGATAGATTTTGTATTTAAATTGTTATGTGTAGTTCCAGTATATATGTGTGTGTGTGTGTGTGTGTGTGTGTGTGTGTGTGTGTGTAGACAGACAGACAGAGAAACAGAATCAGCAGGGGCAATTATAAATGTTCCAAGTAGGAATATATGAATAGTTTATGAGTGATGCTCACAATTCAAAGAAAGGGGATAAAGCTATTAATATCTGTAATGTATCTTTGAAGAGTTAAAAGATAATTAGAGCTTTCACAGAAGCTATAGTGTAGTTATTTTGAAAGACTGATTCTTTAGAATAACGTTGAAATGCCTTGTTGATGCAGGCATTCATCTGATATTCCATGGTTTAGAAGTTTTTAAATGGTACTATACAGGGGTAGGATTCTACAGGTTCGCACCTATTCGCTAGAACAGGTTGTTAACATTCTAAGCAGTTTGGTGAACCGGTTGTTAGAAGAAATTACTGGCCTAATCCTGTAAGGAAGGCAGGAAGGAAACATTCTGGTGTTGCTTACAGAAACTGCCTCTCCGTTAACCCTTATTACATTCTTGGCAGAACTGGACTTCCTGTCTCAGGAACGTCTCTGGAGTTTTATTCCCCTCCTTTGCTGGTACTTTGCTTGTGTGGAGTGACCATTCAAAGTTACAATGGCACTGAAAAAAGTGACTTATGACCATTTTTCACACTTATGACTGTTGCAGCATCCCCACAGTCATGAGAGGGCAGGCGAGGAAATGCATGCCTCAATGTGAATGAAGTTGAGTTGGCCATGCCCAGCCAATAACATGACCACCAAGCCATGCCCACCAACTAAGCCACGCCCACAGAACCGGTTGTTAAAAAACTTGAATCCCACCCCTGGTACTATATATTACAGATCAAGTTGATTCCTCCTTGATTTGCTAATATCCCCCCCACCCACTGTGTTGTTTGAAATTTCACAAGATTTCTGCTTCCCACCACTAATAAGAGAAGGAGAATTAAAATAAGTCACGGACTTTTATAAATATGCTTTTCTTCTTAAGGAGGGTGAAATTTGCTGTCAGGTGACTGGTAAAACCTTAAAGAAGCTAGCACTGTTGCTTAGGTCATTGAGACAAAGAGGACCTTTCGGGAATGTTAGGAAGAAACTATTGGAAAATACGAATAGAATCAGGATAAATTTCATTTTGTCAAGCAATGTAACATATGTGACTTGAAAGAGAGAGATTTAGTTTGTTTCACCACACATTCACCAGTCTATGTTCTTCCTGAGGTTTTTCTATTTTAGAGAAACTGCAACAGACAAGAGAATGCAATCTAGACATAAGCTTGCATCACATTCAGTTTACAATTTAATTGTCTTTTTGAGATTATAGTGTGATTGACAATATGTGATTCCATAAATAATTCCTGAGAGTACATATTAACAATTAATTTTACATATTGGAAAGGTCATTGAATTTGGTGTATTTTACATTCAGATAGAGTATGAAGTCTTGTTGATCCAAATCAAAACAAGTAATTTTAAGTGGTAGTAGTCATGCATTTATATGGATTATTTTCTCCACAACCAAATTCTGTTTATATTTTCCCTGTATTCTCTTTATTCCCTGTATACAATGTATTGATTGGTTAGTTATGTTGCTACATGAGACCTACATTTAAAATGGCTGTGAAATTTCTTAAGCATTTTTAATCTTCTATTATAGAGTTCATAAATACGGAAAAATGGGTAAAAAGGATGCTTCTTCTGCAAAAGTACCTGTGGATCAATACAGAAAACAAATAGGTAAAAGTTTCTTGGATTTTATCTTTATCCTTCTCATCTTATATAAAGTTTTGCATTAATACTGTTTCCTAATGAAAACACAATATAAACTTGTTTTCCTTTTAAAAACAATCATGGGAAAACATAATTGCTATTATGTTTCTACAGTGTTGCCTATACTAGAAATCTTGGGGTTGGGATGGGTTACAAAAATGGTAAATAAATAAGAATAACTGAATGAATATAGGCCAGGGGGTATCAAACTTGATTTCATTGAAGGCCGTATCAGGGTTGTCTTTGACCTCGAGGGGCTGCGTGGACATGGCCAGGATGGATATGATGTCATATGTCACTCGTGTCGAGGGCATCTGTGGCGGCCCGAATGTTCTGCCAGTGCAAATGAGCTCCTGAGCTCTGTTTTCGCTGGCAGAGGCACTGCGGACCAGTCCTTTGCTATTTCTAGGGCAGCCCCATTGGCCAGATCTATACGCTCAGGATAATTTTAGGGTCAGTTTATCCCAAGTACAACTGATTCAGTGTAACATCTTAATTAAACTAATGCCTGATAATACAGTTAGGAAGCTGTTGAAGACAGCAACAAAATGAACAAGTGATTATTTCATTGTGCAGCCAGTCTCCCTAATTCCAATATAAATTTAAAAAAAAAGAAAAAATAAGGAAAAACGAAAGTACCAAAAATTTAAAACGAATTCCTACTAATCAAAGAGTCAAAATCAGTATATTTTATGATGCTCTTTCCTGTCTCCTCTGCATAGACAATAAACCCATTTTTTTAAAATTTTCTAGCAAAAGAATAAAATGCTGTGGGAGAAGAAGACCATAGCATATATTTTTTTTGGTTCTAACAGTTCATGTTCAGGACTTTTAGCAACTACAGGATTGGATTTATAGAGTTATATCTGGTTGCTGTATGGTTTTTCTTTGGTTTGCTGGGAATAATAGATATAAGAAAGAGTGTTCCATATTTTGTTCCTAGATATACCTTTTCAACTGAAAAACATAATTAAGATCTAGGAAACATGTTTCAAGCGCCTGTGGAGTGTTCTGTTGTCCATTTTTAATGTCATATTTCTCTGGAAACTCAGTAGACGTTGATGTGAATGTTCCAAAAGTCATCGTGACTTCTGTACCTACTTATTTATAAACTGGTTTTTCCTATTTGTATGTTTGTGCAATGAATAGCCAACCCCACCTTGAATTTATTACATGTTGCTTATTATATCTGCATTACAACAGGTACAACAAACTTCAGTGAATCTGATAATGGTTTTGCTGCCTTTAAATGAGTTGTTAGGCTTTTGAAATTGAAATAGATTTGAACTCCTTAACCATTTCTCTTCTGATATACTCATTTGACATCATATCAAGTTCAAATGTTTCCTTTATAACACTTTACACCTCAGACCATGTCTAATTTGGGAGAAGCAATTTCAGCAGTCCACCCAAGAGTTTTGCACTTCTAATTTGATGAAAGTAAAATGTCTTTTTCTAGCTTAAATACAGATATATTTACTATCATTAAGCTTTCCTAAATCAGAACTGTACTTTGTGTGTGCCTATGGTGAAGTAGACTGAGAGCAACAAAAGAATTCAGGCAATAAAAGACTACCTACTCTACACTTTTGGAAATAGAGATATTCATATCTACTGTATCTTTCTTGAGATGTTGGAGTACTTATCTGCATTAGTATAAAGTGAAATTTGCATTGATAATGAAAAATAAGTGATTCATTCCTATCTTAGACTAGAATATTTTGTTTGCACTCACCGCATCCCCTGGAGAAGTAGATTGTCTTACTCCCTGATGCCATGAATGCTGGAACAGCATGGTCCAAGGACATGAAGACCTGATTGCTAAGTGTCTACGATGCTACTCTTTCAAGGCAACCGGGACAGTTGGAGAAATGCCCACTAGCCAATTACAGTATGCACCAAAGATAGTTCTGGGTGACTGAATTGTAATTTTGCAAAGCATCATAAGCTGTCATAGTTTGCCTTCAAGGCACATCTTGGCATATTTTACTGATGAAATTACCAGCAAAAATCTTGGATAAATATTTCCAACTCACTATAGGCTATTAAACTCAGAGTCATGGCTTTGAGGAGAGATACTATATATATTTGTTTATGTATCATCACTGTTGCATCTTAACTCAGCAGACGCAAACTGAATATAGATAATTGTCTCTGTGAGCAGCTGTGGAAAAGACTACAACTGTGCAGATCCTCTGAAAAAAATGATGTGCACTATACAAGCAGACATTAAAAAGCCCCCCTTTCTTAAAATCATTAAAGCAGTCATATCTTTTTCCACACTTGCACAGTTGCTTCATAATCTGTTGCCGTTTGTCTGTACATTCAGTTAATGAGGCAGTTCTACCAATTTGTTTATGACTGCTTCAATGTTTCAAAGTGGTGTGCTTGTATGAGCTTTTGTACAAACACTTTGAAAGGATTTGCATAGCCCTAAGCTTGCTAAAAACAGAGATTGACTATCAAGCTCATATAATAAATATGGACTGTTGCCTAAAAAAGGAAAATAATTGATAAAAGAATAATATTGGTAAAAGAATAAAAATATAACCACCTGAAAAAGTTGTGCATGATATCATGATAATGCTGTGAGTGTCTGATGCAGAGGTCAAGAAAACTTCCCTTGTAATGGAGTTTTTTTTACAATAGAGGAGTTTGTAACACTACTTAATATCTTTTAATAATTGAACTATTTGATGAACTTTAATTTGGGCAGAAAGTTGTAATTAATCACTGAATGAATTATTATCAAAAAGTGTTCAATTGATGTCCAATTTTGCCATTAAGCAATATTGTTATTTAATTACTTGAGGAAACTGATTCTTTTGTTATAGTAGACCGAGCAAAACCTTCAGAACACATACTGTAATGGAATAATGAACATAAAGTCTTAAACATATAAGTCATCTCCATAATACGTCATCTTCATAAAATATAGATTAAAAATGCTGCATATAAAATACATAGTGTGTGCTGTAATGCAATTCATATATATTTTTAAAAATGACTTTTATTACCATTAAATCTGAATTAAGTCTCCAATGTTCCTTTGTTCTTTGCCTTGCAAAGATAAGTGAAATAAAAATTATTTCACAGATCTAGATAATGGCAGTTGTACAACCTGACTTTTCTTTGTCAAAAGATAAATCCAGTAATTCACAAATTAAGAAACCACTTCTGTTTTTCACATCCTTGTATTAATCACACATACAGTTAGAAGTATATTACTTCTCATGATGCAAGACTACATTGAAAGAATGTTGGAATATATAAACTCAAGAAGAACTAGTCAGGATCCCTAGTGGATCTATGATTGCATCATAAATTGAATTTTTTTTCTTCCGCTACCATAGAATTGTATTCTGTGAAAGTCTCCCATGTTATCCATTGTTTTTCCTTAGTTATAAGTAGTACTGGAGAAGGAGATAAAATTTTCCAGTAAATTCCCAAATGCTATGTGTAGCTCTTCATATCTGGACTATGATATACCCTTAGGCATGACTAATTCTATGGAAGTTTTCTGCACATAAATCTTTTTAAGTGCCTTTGAATGCCAATTAGAAGGCAGCACGGATTCCAAATATATAACAGCAAAAAAGGAAATTTGCAAAATCCTCAGTAATTTCCTTGCTGTGGTAGATTACCCACTTGCAACATTAGTTCTTTTTTTTTGAAGTTTTAAAAACAATTTTATTTACAAATTTAAAAATGTACAATTTCAAAAATATAGAAACAATAATAACACATAATTTTTTACATTTGTTGTCAAATTTGGTAAGTCCTAAAAATCATTATTGGCTAGTACCAGTCACATCTTATACTCCATTTATTTTCACGTTGGGTTATAACTACTCTTCTATTACGAATACATTCATGTTTTTTAACTAATAAACACAGAAAGTATTATAAATGGCTAATAATAATAAAAGTAGTAACAGAGAAAAGAAGGTTTAAAACCTTTAATTGTTTTTATATACTTAATATATTATAAACCTCTGGATATAATTTGTATCTTAGGTTCATTTACATGTTTCCCCTTTTATTATCTACCTACTTATATAATTTATCCCATATGCGGTAATAATCTGTATTCTCCTTCCCGTTAATTTTAAGCATAAACCTCTCTAATTGGGCACACTCATATGTTTTCTGAATAACAACCTGTATCGGTGAGTTTTTCCAATATTGTGCTAGTGAGATACGTGCCGCAGTTAATAAATGGATGGTCAGATGTTTTACTTTAGCGGAGTAGTCCCCTTTGATCATTCCCAACAAAAATAATTCCGGTTTCCACTCCAGCCCACGCTCTATAATTTCTTCTATCCACGTTTTTATTTTTACCCAATATTTCTTTATCTCAGGACAAGTCCACCATGAATGAAAGTATGTACCAAATTTCCCTTTAGATTTCCAACAGCAAGGATTGGCTGTCAGAAATGTTTTGGCCAATCTAGAGGGCGCCAGATGTACATCATTTTGTATAGATTCTCCTTGTGTGCTACTGATTTGGTTAGTGTCAGGTTTTTCTGCCAGATTTCTTGCCAGGCATCCAGATCAATACTTTAACCAAAGTTTTTTTCCCAAGCTAACATGGGACCTTTCACAATTTTCTTGGCCATTTCATATTCTAATGAATAATTATATAATTTGGAAATTGAACTTTTCTCAGGGTTTAAAAGTATTTTATCCAAATATGTATCTTATCTCAATTCCATATTCCTTTATGTCTTTATTGTATCTCAATTTTATTTGAAAATATGACCAATTATCAAAAGCTATCTCTTGTCATTCTAATTTTTGTTTCGTTTTAATTCTTCCCTCACTGTCTAATATTTGATAATATTTTAAGTTTTTTACTGATGTCCATCGTGTTTAAATGAAACATTGCCTCCATCGTTGAAAACCACCTCGGGATTTTAGTATAATTATTCTTTCTTATATCAGTTCAAACTTTAATTAAAGACTTT